CGTTTCGTCGCAGGAGGTTATTCTACCTATTCTTGTGCAAAGTAGCATTTAGGCCTTACGCAAAATGTTTATAGTAATGAAAAAACGTGTATAACACATCAGTAGCGGAAACTGAAGATAATATTAGGCATCTCTTCGACAATCATACTACTTCATAATTTATTTTTCCTACATAATCGTTACATTCACGGCAGATGCTGTGCTCGTCCTAATCTGTTTTGCCCTTTTTCTGTAATATCGAACATCCATGATCCCTGATATCGCTATCCTCAAAAAGACCAGGAGGTCACACGGCTGCGTCGGCGGAGGCGTCCGTTAGCGGAATAAAGTTCTTACGTAGACGTGCGAAGTGGCAGAACCTCATTCGGCATATGTTGTAAGCTGCTAGCGACAGCAAGCGGTACAGAGTTCGCAACGGGCACTGCAAACAAGTGGTTCACAATGAGAGGACGAAGCAATTGGGACTCAAAGGACTCGCACAGAAGTCCTCAGAAACGGCTTCCGTTCGTTCCTTCCCTGCAGGAAGCGTAACTATCTCGTGGAGGAAATAGGTTAACGAGACATATATTCAAAGTTGCTCGTATTTGCGTCTCATCTTGGCCGCAAATGAAACATGAGCTTTAAAATTGGAGTTTTGACGGGCATCGACGACGGCAACGGCGATCGCACAATTTTGGAGCAGCGGCGATGGGCGTTACAGTCCGTTGAATAGGGGTTCTCATAGGGAAGAAGCGGCCTCGTGCGACGAGGAACAGCGGCCCGAGTGAGGCTACCGAGAAACGACCTTCAGAACAGTGAACGATAGGGTAAAAGCGGTAACGAAAGGAGAAGTTTGATGAAGCTGGCGGTATCGTAATTCGGATATTAACGAACAGCAAAGGAAACTGCCGTACATTATTTGACCGCTTATTTTGGCAACCGTTTGACAATTAACGACCGCGTTTGAATAGAGCCCGGGAATATAGCAGTGGTTCACTGAAATCGTTAGTTAGCGAAAATTCAATTTATTTCACGCTGATTCGCTTTTCAGTGTAGAGCGTAATAGCAATGGAGGACTTCTATGCATCATTAATACGCCGACAATTTCAACTATCTGGGGAGACAAAAATCGATCGCCGTCTGCAGGCATGACAAATTTCGATGTACAATGACATCGGAACGAGCTTACATTTGAATAGTACGGCTTGATTGGCAATCGACGACGAGTCGTCGAAACGAGCTTATAGATGTCGATCTATTAATGAAGAAAGCAAATTATATAAGTCTATGTTATAGTAGTCACAGGATGCGTGACTGAACATAACCATAGTTTTATGTTATAGTTGACCTTTCCGGACACTACCCAAGCATGTGTATATTATTACCCAGTCTTAGTGAGGCTAATTGAAGGGTAATTATGAAAGTTATTAGTGTCCTATCCCTATCAAAAGTTCGCCATTGGCAAAGATCCCTGAGCGAGTGCATAAAGAGTTAGTGAGCAGCTAGTTAGCTAGAATGATGTGAGGAAACTGAACAGCTTACTTGCCATCAACAGCTAACCCTCCACTGAATCTGGCGCTGGCCAACGCTCGTCGAAATTTTCCCTCACAGATATTCAAAAGAACGCCTAATGTAATATTTGACAACGCACGAATCCATAGGCCTAGAGTGACCCATCTCGTCGAAAGGTTGCAATTTCTAGCTTATGTACGCTTTCAAGGAAAAATTTCATACCGTTTTATAAAACGCTTGAGACTCTATCGTAAGCCATATTAGAACCATTCAATTTCGAAAATTGGTCAGCAAAACGGGACGTTTCGGAAGTTCGCCGCCGAGCTGACTTGTCCCTTACGAACCGCAGAAACTTTATTGTGATTTTATATAAATGCGATTGCTCTGCCATTACTATTATTATAAGCTTATTATAATAATTGAAGAAGGCGGACATTATTATAAAGTAGCGATTGCGTACTTAAAATTATTTTGCTTAAGTTTACAAATTCTTGTTAAGTACGTTCAATGACGCGAATATATTCATTCTGAATCAGTCAGCTGAGCGTGCAGCTTGCTGATGGATAGGGACCGCGGTGCATGTCTTGGCTACATAGGCGCAAGCAAGAGAGATCAACTTCGGATGTTTATCCTTTAGATGTTTAATTTGCTAGCCTGAAACGAAAGAGTGCCTGCAGCAATGTTACACGCGGTCGGCAGAACGTTCGCAAGACGGCTTTGAAGTCTTCGCGAAAATGAAATCTACTTATTCAGACCTGTGCAAGCTGCGTTAGAATGGTAGGTATTCCCATTGGACATCGGTCGAATCTTGGTAAGAGGCGTTCTTTTGCCAACAACTTACCATCAGGGCAACTAAAACTCAACTAATGGTAACCATGCCGCACTCAAATAGTAACACTCCATACAGTAGTCTATGGGACAAAGTTGGATAGAAGCCCAGACGAAGCAGAATTAAAAAAGAACATGGTCTAGCTAGCTAAAAGAAAAATTTGAATTGTGAAATTAGCTTTTGTGTTGAAGCCGACTAGATAATTTACGTGGCAACAGCAGATCCGATTGTTATTTATTTATTACTTATTAGTTAGTAGTATTGTTATTTATTTATTACTTATTATTAGTTACTCTTTGCAAAATATTAGTTGATACCAACTGTATCGTTCTACAACACTATGGAATTATGTTTCATTAAAAACTGCGCGGAACAAGAATTAGGGGGCGTTTTACATGGCTAAAAGGATACGACGCCACAGTCGCTCTTATCTGTCAATGTTACCGCAGGAACTACACTGAATGTGACCAGCTAGTATTGAAGCTGCTTGATTGGAATACCTGTTTTAGCATATTTTCTTTTAAATTAGAGGTGAATAGATCATTTGTTACAGGAACTCATTCGACCTGCTAGACAGGTATGTTGTCGCCAGTTCAAGCATGTTTAAAGCTCCTTTCGTGGTGCCTGAAGCACATCCTCTGGGATCATGTCAAAGCAGCCTCAGTAGAGGCGGAGTTAGCAAACTTAGAAACAGCCATTTTAAAACTGGTTTTCAGTAGCTAGTGCACAGTACGGGTTCGTTACATCTGTCGACGTTTCTTATTATCCTAGTAACATTGACCAAAGGTTTACTTCAAGCCTTCAAGCGAACACTTCCCAAGCCAATGGTATGCCGGTATGAGGCATAGAATAATCTACTCCGATGTCGGCCTTAAACCTGTCGGCCACTATTCTGATGTGAAGAAGACGGTCTTTTTATATCGGTAGTTTTGCTGACGCATTGGAATTCACTATTGTCAACAAACTTATGTATTTTACACCAGGTTCAATGGTTCTCATGGGAGCTGATGTAAATTCGCACACATTGGCGAGGTGTTTGCACGACACCCCAAGCTTCGTTCAACCGAAATAGAACATAGGGGCCTTGAGCTAAGTATCTTATGTAAGCGTGCATGACTTATCGACACCAAGCTTGTTTCACAGATTTACGAACCGATGAAATCGTGTTCAAATCTCGAAATTAAATATAGAGCATGTACTAGTAATAAAAATAGTTTGCTCTATATCCCAATAATAGCATAGAACAATTCTAGCTGCTTGCGAAGTAAGTAATGCAATTAGTAGTCATCGCAACTTAGCCCCTTAAAAGTATTACATAATGGAATAATAATAATAAAAGGATACATATTGTTTCAACTCGTATGTGTAAACAACGCCCACTCAGTAACTGGCAGCCGAACAGTTACTAGTAATCCATGCGAGGCCTTTTTTAAAATGTGACAAATCACGCCGTTTCTAGTCTAAAGAAGTGGTACTTGAATAAAAATGGCTCTCTCTAGAGATTCTATACAATACAGGTAATTCCTTATCTAGAAGGATGTCGGTAAAAACATTCGGACCTTTGGACTTCAGGAGTTCAAGGCGCCTTGTACATGTCCGTCTATCTTTCACACCAAAGTAGCTGCATTTTCCGAAAGAAAAAACGTACTTACGTATGCTTTAATATTCGACCAAAGGCGTTCATTCAATCACAAGCTCTTGCTGCAGCATGTGGTGTATGTCTACACATAATAGCAATCACATCTTTGTAAATATCCGTTGGCTTACACAAATAGAGGGGGCGCGAAGTAACAAAAAGTTAAAGGTAATGACGTAACATAGAAAAACAGTGATGAGTGGCCTATCCGACAAACAAACCTTGAGTTGCATTACTTCCTTTTGCGCCGCCCTTCTGCTCGCCGCTTAACTTCGCGTAAGGTGTTCTTGTTGTACGTTAGTATCTGCACATAGAAACGAATGCACCAATTGTATTCGTAAACTATTGTGGCCAGCCAGCCAGCCATTAGTAAGACCAAACGATCCAGAGGATCGGAACTCTCTAGCACCTTTTTTACTTCTCTGCTATCTCCCGCCCATAGTTTATGTACCTCAGTGCGCCCGCTTCGACTTCTACGCACATTCGCTCTACGATAGCCACAGAAATTGCATTAGCAGCTATAGCTGTACCGTATCTTCGCGAGAACGAGAGGTTTCGCCTTCGAAATAGAACCAGTTACACCTTATTTTTCTCGTTCATACGATGTGTTAACCGGCCGCTGTTTTCTTTCAGTAAAAAGAATGGTTTTGCTCCAGGAGATAAGGATAAACTGGAACAAAAGCAGAGTGAGCGATGGTGCGCGCTGGCCTTCGAGGACGCACTTCTTCAAAATGAAAAGTGCAATATCACGCGGATGGTTGGCACCTTCTCTGTCCTTCAGCTCCTTTCGGCTTGTCTATCGTGTCCAACTCTAACACTTCACTTGCTAAGTAATGTTACGTTGCCGCAGCCAGTAGAACTGCTCGAACCGTCTGCTCAAATACAGACCTTCGCTTTGCCTCAGAAAACCGTTTAGTAAGATCTCGCCCCTTCTTCGCTGGCAATCTCGTAGCGCCAGTCGTAAAGCTCGGTTGAGCTGCAAGTAAAGAAATCTGAGAAACGAAGCGCGCCCAGTGATGGTATCCGCGGCACGTAGATAAACAGACCAGAAAGTATCCATTGTCGACGCCGGCGCAACGGGTTGTTCGGAGAATAACGACTTCAACGGTGTCCTCTTCATTCGTGACCGGTTTTTGTCGGTCTGTACTCAATCTTCGCAAATATCATCATGCGTCGCGTACACGGTCATGACTCATTGTAAATCCAGAACCCTCCCGATGGAACGAAACGATGGGAAATCAGCCTGAGTTAGTATGTGTGCGGGTATGTGTACGTGAATATTTATTTGCATATTTTATATAAGAGATATAGCAGAGATGAGCAGGTGAAGGATGGTTACAGAAACGAAATAGTGTTTCAAATACAAAGGAAGAAGGGTAAATTATTTGACGTTCGTTGATGGCAACTGTCTCAGGTCATATCCAGTCAATTAGGACTGAACAGATTTAGGTCGAAGGACGAGCGCGCTATTAAATACACTGGCAGATGTGTGTTCATGGTATTTTTTTACTTGGTTTTATGCAATTTATATAAATTGGTTGTTATCATGTTCTTACTAAAATTTTCATTGAAACACCTCCATAGCACAATATGGGTAACGTTAGGGGTTTACTGACTTTGCTTACACTAATCAACAACTGTTTATTATACTTTGTTTATCCATTATATCGCATGATTATATGCAGACCACGAGTCGCGTGTAATATTTTTATGTAGAATTAAGCCACACGAAGTGTGCTTAGCATTGTGCTTTTTTCAAATTGATAAAAATGCCTTTTCATTACGATATACCGTATATATATATATAGCCACATATCCAATTTTATATAGAAAGCCCTACTGAAAAATGTAATAAATCGTTCGGCAAATTTAGTAAATCATTCTCAGACATTCTAATATTAAGGTGCTGCAGGGGCAAGTTTTGTCGACCGGCTTGAGCCGAATAATTTAACACCACGCCCTCTGTAAGAAAAAGAAATCCACTGAAGTGTTTTATGGTCCTCACTTAATTGAAAGTCGTGGCCGCGCAAGCTTAATCGAAAGCGAAATTTAAGACTGATTATAAAGACCTCATAATTAAAATAAGAGGATGACGCCTCTGGTTAAGGCAACTTGTAACGTCTTTGACATAGTACGAACAACCATTCCGCTGTACGGAATAATGAAATAGCCATATAAATATAATGAAAAATTGGATCTCCTCTCAGAGCAACTGGGAGAGTAGGAAAATCTGATAGAAAGCCATATTTCATTTCGTGTAAAGGAGATGCAGTTTGAGCGCTTTTGTATTTATTTCCTTACTGACAAACCGAAACTGAATTCGTCTTCTTTGGATTAATGGCCCCCCTGTTATTCCTCTTCGAATTGTGCGGCTAGCTCGCTGTGAGCACCGAAAAAAACCCATAATATATTATAATGTTTACATATATATATATATATATATATATATATATAATATATATGTAATATATAATATATATATATATAATATATAATATATATAATATATATATATATGTAATATAATAACGCATAATATACAGACAGTTTGTGACACGGAAATCTAGCATATAAAATAGCGATAAATAGCCATAAATCGTTGACAAGTAGGAGAAGTCGAATTCAAACAGGGACGACCGCGCTAGAGTAAGATGTAACATAACAATGACACAATGTAATTCGAAGCACCTGACTGGCTGGCGAGCAAGTACAGAATAATATTTATATTTAGCGTGCGTACTCAAAAATGTTCATTACGATAGGCCGATTATTAAGCCCATTTGATGTAATTGGGTCTGAGGGAGATGTAATCACTCCTTGATTACATCTCCCTCAGACCTAAATATAATTTCTAACATGTGTTCGTCAAAGAAGTGATTGTCTCTCAATTAGGCTTAACGTTTCGTTTGTGTGAGACGGCAAAAAAAGCTGAACCAGAAAACAAGGTAAATTGGCAAATGTCGAAATTGAGCGGCCCATCACAAATTACTGAGTAACCTAAACAGAAGAGGCAGAAACTTAGGGGTGGACTTATTCCTCTTCTGTGTTTTTATTACTGACATCACAAAAGTGATTGCTAGAAGAAGCATGATTCATACACTGGGTAATAATGATCTGAAATTATATGGTTCCTATTATAGCCGCGATGGAAAACATTACTTCAGTGGTTAACTGACACAATAACGGAGGCCATAGAGACGTGAAAGTCAGCGCCTATATTTGCAGTTATATCACCTAGTCAGTCCCAGTCAGTCCAGAACAGACTATGCGTGGCTTAGGGACTGTTGCAAGTCCTGTTTAAAATCCGTCAAATCGCATCACGACGCGCAAAACCCTGCCTGTGACATAATTTTCCGGTTGTTGATCGTGAAGGAAGTTGAGTTTCATGTTACCTTGTTGTGCCTAAACATTTTTGTTCTGGGGTATGGCACCTTTACCCACCGAAGCCGCGTTGACCCTTTCTACACGGTGCAAAAAGCTAATGGAAGAAGTGGAATTTCCCTGCCGCCCATGTTACGAAGTGTACATCGCAATGTATGTGACCATGTTTGGAAAAACAGAAGCTAACTAGGTTAGTTCCCATTTCTCAGAAATAACGACACATGCAGTGGCAAATGGCTTGCCCATACACATAGGTACGTTAGTTGAAAATAAGATTTCTTTGTATCATATATATTTACTTGATCAAATTTGAGAACGCATGGTCAGATAGAATTTTACCAGAAGACGTCGTTAACATTAAAGTGATGTTGTTTAGCTATCTGTGGCTTTCATTTACCACGATAGGAGTTCACCCTATTTTTATTATTACCACAACAGTAGCGTTCAGATCCTTCAAAAATGTTCCACTGCATTTTTGATATACAAAGAGAGTAAACATTATTTATGGCCAGTATGGATCAGTGTACCACATGCGGTCTTTTTTGCAGAAACTTCTGTCCCATTCTACTATGAGATAATGAAACATTTGTGAAAAAACACATCGAAAGCAGATCACAGCCGGCATGTAGTATGATCTCCATGTAAATATCCAATGAATAGAACTTGCGGTCAGTACAGATCGACGACAGTCCCAACAGCCCTCCGCCTTCTTTTCTGCCTGAGACAGAATCGCATAACCACAGGAATTCGGTCCTGCTCTACCCTATTGCCATGACCCGTTCAGCGTTCCTCTTGGCTAGCTTTCTTCTCCTGTCGTGATTTTTAATGTAGGAGACAGCACGCCTCCGAAGCTTGGCGCTCGAAAGGTATATCCGTTGTGGCTAACTTTTTTCTTATTGTCCTGCCTGTCTCTGCCAGTTGTCCACTGTTTTGCCTAAAACCGCTGTAATATCATTGCAGATTTACTAATAGACAGTTTCCGTATGCGAACCTTATCGGAACATTAGGAAAGGGTAGAAAAACTCCTATAAATATGCGCTAAAGGAAAATTTCACGATAGAACGATATTTGTAAAGGAAATTCCGTCTAAACAAAGAATATCTTTTATAAATATAGCTATTTAACTACTTGTATTCGAATTCGCTAGACGGTAAAAGTAGTAACGTTCAAATCAAAACCAACAATAGGATACGAAATCCGAACCCAATGAACTATAGCTGTTGGATATTTGTATCGACCTTTTTGCAGTACGTATGTTTATTTCTGTAGTTGTTTTAAATGTTCGCGCCAGTAAAAGGCACATAATTACTCTAAAGGAACTAAAATTCAGTCCTGATGATTGATTTTCATAACAGAAATAACGTGTATAAATATTAAGCCTTTGCAGCCATATTACCTCAGAGTACCGGTATTTAATTTATAACAGGGGACATTTTCAGAGGTAACACATAATTAAGCCAATTTTCCTTACCCCACATCTAAAAAAATGAAGGTCGAATTTAGTCGAGAGTCAAGCAAACCCTCTATGGAGTCTTGAATATTCGCCATTTTCAAGGGGCCAATAAATTAGCAGTGCAGATGATACTTACCAGCCTCCTAAAGAAGGTAGATTCCATCGCCCACAGCCTTTTATGGAACACACGAAAGTTACGCTTTAACATGGTGAGATTCACATTGATAAGCACTGTGTGAAACGCTCAAGGATCAGACCAATCCTCCGGAAGCCCTATCAACAACATCACCACGAATTGCGATAGAAGGTTATCCATGTCATTGTAATTTTCAGGCATATCAAGCTAAAATACGATATCCAGCTCGTATCTCCACGAAGCTCCGTGGAATGTCTCTCATGCAAGACTCCCACGGGGCTCCATGGGAGGTTTCTTTGTAAAGGAAACTTGGCAAACGTGTATGGGATACGTAAAATATTCAACTGTTGCGGAAGTTACCTACGGGCCTCAAGGACCTTCTAATATGTAAAATTTACAACTTCGTACTGGATAATGGAAAACTGAATCTAATTTAGCTTGGATAAATTTCCCATTTATACATTCAGTAGCAAAATTATGAATTAAAGTTATCTCGAGCCGTAGATAGTATAAGGTTAGACCTTCGACCAGTTAGGGAGTTATGAACGCTCTTCTTCATTGTAAACAATTAAAGACATCGAAAACACCCCACCACTTCTGCAGTGTCCGTTGCACAAAGTTGCACGGCCGAATTCGGCTACAGTGTGATTTTATATTTACTCCTGTTTTACCTACATTATGTCCTTTTGTGTTGTACACGATTTTCCAAAGGGTGTTTTTGTAAATCCGTTTGACCTTTGTTTTCCCAGTTCAGTTATTCAGCCACCAAAGATATAACCTAACCAATACATACTCATAAAAATAACCATCATAATAATAAACGTTTAATCTACGCGGAGCCAAAGTAAGCAACGTACGTAATGCTATCACTGCTAGAACGTCCTTGCTTTATCCCGCATTTTATGCTTTCATGGCTGAGTCTTTTTTCGAGTGGTCGGCTTAATCTCTGCTTGGCCGGTACTCCTTTTCTTATTTTGGGTCTTTAATCCAACCGTTCCCTTTCCTACGCTTTTCCCTTTGTTGTTACAATTGATAAACGCTACCGTATATTGCTTGGCGGATATATACGTACTCGTTCATTCTTCGAGCCTCGTTCGCCGCGATGTTCGCCAACCTTAAATCATTTCTTATGAATTTATGAGTTTGCGTAATGCGTATATGTTTGATAGACACCACAAGTGGAACTGTCTCTTTACGTCCGTTTGTAAAGTTATAGAGACAGTGTTAGAATAACTTGGTGTCGCTAGCATTAATCTGATACAAGCATTTTGCGTAAGTGGTCGAATAACTCGAATCGACTGTCACTTAATCACATGTGTTAATTGTATAAATATATATCAGTGGCGGAGCCAGTTACCCCCTAGCTTTTTCAGCCAAAGATTCAGCTGTCCAACCTTAGCAGTTCGGAAGGTTCACTTCCTGGTGTCATGAAGTCATATAATCATTTGTACGTATTATTTGAAGCTTATAAGGTTGGGTGGTTAATGCTCATTTGATTCAATCCGTTGCCGTAATAATCAGGAACAACAAGCAAGCGACTGCCACTGGTTAAAATCTTAGCGTTGACAAAAGTTATTACTACGAAGGATTATGACGACAGAAAGGAAAATCAACACTCATACCTACAAAGAAAACCGCCTGTATAGCTACCAAGCCATTTTATAGGTTTGTCAAAAACACCCCGAGCAGATCCTGCTAGACCCGTTCTGGCTAGATCCGTTTTATTGAAGACCCTGGCTGTGATATGAAATGTGATCGTGAAGACTTATTCACACGGGGGAAATAGCCGCAAATGAAGCAAAAATTTACGGTCATAAACGCTATAGGATTGACAACTTTTTGCTATTCTTACCTCCAATGTCTATAATTTAGTTAGTTCATTTACACGTGGCATTAAGCATGCGTTAATTAATCTCCCAATCCATTTTCTGCGATAGACCATTGTGGTATATGTTTCATTACGTAGACTGGATGCAGACAGTTTACTGGATAACTATACGGAGAAGGAAAGACATGGCAAGTAAAGTTTTTATCGATTGATTCTGATCATTGTTGGAAATGGCGCCGCGCACGTAACACTGACGGGATGCAGATATCGTGCAAAAGCTAAGGGCTAACCAAGCAGAACTAGTGCAGAGACAGGACGATAGAAAGGAAATATCCAGGAGTGTATTAGAAGTTCGTATAAACATAGCACACAGGTTTTTACCAACTTTGGGCCTTGGCAACCTTTGCTCAGCTCGTGGGTAAACAAAACGCAAATAAACACGCGTACTCTCTGCTAGCCACTCATTATCGCCTTTAATAGTATGTGTCGTATTCTGCAGGTTATTCACCGCTGTTGTTGTCATTGTCGACTCTCTGGCTGGTCACTGTCGTCGGGGTCGCAGCACCTGGGCGAATGCAGGAGTTAATTGCGGCCTTTGTGGTTACTTACTGTTTACGGCGCAGATGAACTGTGCGCCCATGATTTTTTGAGGCAGGGGTTTTACGAGGACATTCAAACTGGACGCCGCTGATTGGTGCATTTGGTAGACAAAGCGCAGGTCAGAAGTAAAGGAGCAGAAAAAGCTGCAAAAACCGATAAGATAGCGGCAACTCGAAAACGAGCCATTCAAACGAATACTGTTCGCGGAATAGCTCATCGCTAAACGTATCGTGTGCTGCGAAGCATAGATGCTGGGAAGATGCATGGATTGATGAAGAAACATCTAAAACAAACGTTAGTTTATGTCGAGCTGTACTTTGATTGACTGCCTCATCAATAACGCTCATTGTCATTCACGTGACCTTCGGTGAGTGAAATGTTAGCCGAGTTCACTAAACGGACGGAACGAGAAGAACCGAGTAACATGGTGACATAGTTGTTACGCGAAGCTCATGCAGAGAAAAGCGACACGTTTGCAACTGATAGAGGACTAGTGATACAATTTTCAATTCAATGAATACGCCTTGCAAGTTCTTACCTAAGGTTGGGTCTGAGTAAGTTATTTCACCAAGTGTGAGTTCCGAAAGGTTATGCCCGTGTTAGATTTGTTAGTAGATTTTAGATATGTAATGTTGGATTTTAGATTCACTTGCAAAGCTGGTAAAAGTGCATAGCTAAATATCTCAACTAGTTTATAGAACGAAATTGCTTTCATAACTTGTCGATAGAAGTTGGCACTTAGCCACGATTCGGCTTAAAAAGTTTCAGGTAATGGAAACATCATGAGGTTGACTCAATATAGAATTTTATTTTGTTTTTTCGTTGCGGAAAGTTTGCAGCAACGTTCCCTGTTTTGAGTAGCTGAATGAGGTGAATTACCAAATGTCAAATGTGGCCCAAATATTGTAGAGCATAATCGCTTTTCCACGTGAAAGCAATGTATTTACGATATATATATATATATATATAGTGTGTGATAATTTCCTGGAACTATCTTGCATAACTGAGCTCTTTCCATTAAAACAAGCCGGAAATTTTCATCCGAAGTTACAATTACTCCGCAGATCTACCGTCATTAATGGTTAACATCTTCTTCTAATGAAAGGAGCAATCTTCTCTAATCTATCCAGCAAGAATAAGCCAAAACTGCTGATTTTGTAATGATGCTTTCTTACAGGATTTTGATAAGAGCCGCTCTTGTATTTGGATCGTCAAATTACTTTCTACACCAGAGTGCACCGGATTGGTCTAACTGTCAAGCACCGTCCCCTTGAAACATTCAATGCAATTGTAGCCACTGCTAACAGAAACAAATAGACAAAAGTTTGTTCAACCTGAAAGCGTTGTCGTCGATATCCGATGGCTTGGACGGGGCTTCATCATGCGTCGCTTGGTAGTATCAGCAAAATTAGCAGAATGGCCGCTGTAGTTGCGAGCCAAGGCAGCAGCAGACGCTTCCAATTTGGGGGTATAACCGCACAGCACAGAGCGTTGCCGGTTACGGTTGTTGCAGCGGTAGTAGTAGTGGCAGACCGTATAGCGCCTTCCACAGTGAAAAAAAAACAGCCCAGAGGTTGGCCTGAATGCTCTCCATCCTTTCACTCCCGCTAGTCGCTCCGATCGTCATGATCCCTTGATATATCCCTATCCCCGTTCCCGCCATCCCATCTTTCGCTTCCTCTTTCTGCGGTCACAGTCTACGCGAGGCATAGCCTTCGCGCGTCTTGTTAGTCTTCTGCCTTGCGTTTCGAACCTTCTATTACGTTGTAGCCACGCTGTCCGTCGACTTGAGCGACTGGACGGATGGTCGTACGCTAAAAATAGCTGTTTGAAGAAGTCGCCGCCACCGCCGTCCGCTTTTTCGATGACGGCCCGCCCCTCGAATCACTCTTCGTTTGGGTCGGTTTCGATTTTCGGCTTGTTTTCGTCGCAGGCTCCCCGTAACCCTTCACACGTCCATCCGCTTTACCCCCTTTTTGTTGGCACTGCGACCGTTTCTGCTTCAATTTCTTTTTCCGTTACTCCTAGTGTTGCCGCCGCTCCTCTTCCAAAACAAATTGATGTTTCCTTTTACCCCATCCAATTTCCGCTTTCGTACAGGGGACAGACAGTTTTAGGGATCGCAACAAACTCCGAGACGACGGCGCGGATATGGGAGGCTTCGTACTCTTCTCAATCGCTATTTCACTCTGGCATCACGCTCCTTCGAACAGAAGTTACACAGCGCATGGCAACCAAGCAGATGGACGTGCAGAAGGGAGCGTCGCATGTAGCAAGCACAGCTTTACGTTCTACGACGCACACGTCAGCGATTTGTGTCGAGCCACAAGTTACGTGTGTAGATCTATTTAGTTGCTTTCAAGAAGAGCATACGGGTAAACGTATAGTAACCTATATATAGATAGACTGGCGAACAGACCGAGCGGATAAACAAACGCATCGTGCACCGTCGTGGCTGAATAATCCGAATCAGAATAGATAGCAGCATCACAAACTAGCAATAGCACAAACGACCGTGAGGTTTGCCGTTCTTACCAGCTCCGCTCAACCTGTTTTCACCAGCACGATCGTTCGAGGGAGGTTACCGCTTCTAAAGATCTCTTCTGGATTGCCACCGCAGCAACAACAATAACGACGACAATTCAGAGGAACAAAACGCGTCCAGACTCTATTATATCTTCGTTTGTATGGTCTTCTAATTCTATCTAC